TTTTTTTTTTCTTTATACTATACGTTGGCCTAGATACAAATAAATCAAATCATTATTCTGTCGTTGATTATCGATTATTAATAAATAACGATTGTATAAAACAATTTATTTTAATTCCACGCCGTGTTGAACAATAGAAGCAGTTGCCTGGGGCCCCGCGCCTTAAATTATAATTAAGTTCTGATTTAACTGAACTTAAAATATTTTATTAATATAAATTATAAGATCCAACATTTATTTTGCCCAGAGCCTCACAAACTCTAGCACCGTCACTGCACCGTATAATATGTTTATATAGCTTATAATTGTACCCTGTATGGGTACGGACAATGAACTTAGATATATATTTTTTCTTATAGATTTTATTAAATATAAGTTATCTAAAGTTTTCAAGGACGTCCAAATAAGAGGTGGGTTTTTTCATTTTAGGCTATGTATATGGAGAAAAATACAGCCTGTACCCGGAAGTACGAGACAAATATATTTAAAATGCTCACTTTGTCTTAAATGTATAACAGTTAATGGCTTTAGCATTTATACCGATACTTGATTTCGATTATTATGACATTATTTTTTTTTTATTATTATTAAACACAATTTTATTATGTTTATATATGTTTTATATATTATATTATATTTATTTATTTATTTATATAAAATCAACGGGCGAGAACCCTTTAACAATGAAAGAAAAACATTAATATATAAATTGGCACAATATGTGAAAAAATAGATAAGTGATAATAATAATAGTAAAAATAGTAAGAAATACAAAGATAAAATTTTAGTATATAGAAAAAAACTATAAAAATAAATATTTAGGCACTATGATTTAAAAATAACAAAGTTTTAGCTTTAAATACTTGACGAGACAAAACAAAAAAATCTAAGACTGTGGAGATTCTATTGGCGTTAATAATTGCTCTTGAAAAAAATGAATTTTTTCCACTATTTGTATTAAAATTAGGTGTATGGAACAAATCAGAATTTCGTGTATACCTACTAGGGATTCTAAATCCAATTAAATTTAAAATAGCTGGGCAGTCTATATTATTATTTAAAATATCATAGATAAACATTATATCAATCAAATCACGCCTAATGTTAAGAGAATCAATACCTATCGAGTTTTGAACCAAAATGAAAGAGTCCCTGGATATAGTGCAATGAGTAATAAAGGCGACTCTTTTCAAAAATTTATATTGAATATTATTAAGCTCGTTTGAGTAAGTAGAATAATTATTAGACCAAATTAAAGAGCCAAATTCTAGGTTTGATCTAACTAAAGAAGTATACAATTTTTTTAAACATATAGGATTTTTAAAAGTTGTTAAAAGTGTTAAAAGTGTTAAGTGTTATCTAGTAATAAAACCCAACATTTTATACGCATTATTTATAATTTTTTTATGATTTATTTTGAAAGACAGATCAAATTCAAAACAAATACCTAAATCTGAAATAGAAAAACATCTTTCAAGAGGATGGTTATCAATAAGATAATTATGAAAAACAGGACTTTTAGTGCGGGAAAAAGTTATAATTTTACATTTATCATAGTTTAAGGATAGATAGTTTTGTATTGTATATATTGTATTGTAGTGTAATGGACGGGGAAACGATGACGAGGTAGTGACCCAATACCATTTGCGGATGGATGGTATCATCCCCAATCCATAAATACCAAAAATATTAACATTTAAACAAGATGGATCGAGCTTTGAACAAAAACGTACTAATTTAAAACACACCACGGTCATCCACCTGACATTGTACAGGCCAGTGCAACAAAAGATTTAAGTACAAGAACATTTAACACATTCATAACCTTCACCGATACTCTTCCGAAAGCAAATTGATAATAGTTATAATATGGTTATATTGTACCAGAATTAAATATAAAATATTTTAAATATAAGATTACTATAATTATTTTACAAAATTTTAATGTTCCTATTATTTTGCAAATAATTTATAAACATTCATATTTAGTTAGTTTTATAATATTTAAAATTCAATTTTGTAATAATATTTTATAGTTATTTTAAAAAAAATTTAAAATAAAATAAATACTTTAGAAACTTTTTAATAAATAGTTCCAAGTAATAGTAGTATACCGTAAGTGTAATAGGTATCTACTATATACTTATAATAATATGAATCTATATATGTATACTATGTATGTAGGTAAACTGCAATATAAAATACACAATAATTATTATTTTAAACAATGTATAATTAATTATTAATGAATATTGAAACTACCATACCCCTAATTCATTAATAATTAGTAATCAAATAAGTATTTTTATCGAATTTAGGATAACTCTTAGTTGTACGTGTACGAGTTGATTATATTATGGTAAAATACATGTGGTATCTAAGTTTTTTTAAAGGGCTGATTGACGATTTGTAACAGTCGCCTAATATAGATAACTGAACATTTATTTATATATTAAAATATTACAAATAATTGAGCACCAACAAAGGGTAAACAAAAATGTCATTGAATTTCATGTATTCAGACATAAATTTGTTTCCATTCATGATTGAATAATTCAACATAAATGTTTAACTATTTGTGTTAAGACATTTCACTTTTCTTATATTTTATTAGTGAATAATGCTTTGCACATATTTTTGTCTAATGAAAATCTTGTCATGAATATAAATGGATAATGATCTCATTTACGTTACTTAGTGATAACAAATAAGATATGACTGCGTCTCAAACAAGCATTATTTAAAATTTGAATACTCTTTAAACAAGCAAGTAAAAATTTAAATAAAAATTTAGTAAACAACTCTCATCATTTAAGTCATAAATTGAAGCAACATTTCTAATCAGATACTTTATAGTATTATTTAATTCTTTTGTTTTCTTTTAATTAATTTTAAGTCAGATGTTTCATACCGGTGTGAAAACAAAAGAGTAAATTATATTTTTTATAGTTTTATAAAATTATTACATCATTGATCATGATTTTGTTGGTAATGTCATAAATAGTCACATTAGATTATTTTACGTAGATATATTTTGACAAATATTAACAAAAACTAATAATTCCAGAATTTTATACATTTAAAAAGGATCAATTAGAGGAATATAAAAGTAAAACAAACAACTTTATAAAAATTTATACATTTTTCCTTTTTGCAATAACAAAAAAAAACACAATAAAAGTTTTTTATTTTTACAAAACTTATAAGTCTTTTTTTTTCTTTTACCAATGCCACACATTTATTGTTCTTTCAAACTAGTCATTGGGAATTGATAAGTGTGTTTGGTTTATAACTAAGGCACTGATTTACATTACATATTATTTACTTTTACTTTGGATTAATCCAGTCAGTTTAAAAATAAATAATAATAACATTAAAAATGTATTATATAAGTAATTTGTTTTTTAAACTAGGCACTTAATAAAAAATATAATAAATTAAATTTAATAATTGTTCAATCAGTCGATAAGTCTCAAGCTTGCCATAACTTTGCCCTTCCATAGTGGTAACACTTGATTGTCGTCCGTGATTTCTTCTTGGATGCCAGTTGATGGAGATTCATCAAATTCAGTAGTGAAAAAATATCTGTAATCAATATATGTTATAGTAAATACATAATAACTAAAACATACAAAAATATGTAACTTTATCACGCAAGTGTATACTAATGAAATATTAATAAAACTGTAAAAACTATTACCTGTAATGTCCTTTCTTTGGCATACATTCAATGAATTGTTTCAATGTGATTGGATGTCCAGCGATTTTCTTTCTGAATGGAAATTCTTCATCATTAAAATTATAAACAACAGTGGTAGTGGTAGGTGAAGCGGTGATTATATTAGATGTTGATGGTGCCAATTCTTCTGCAGGAAGTCCACGGCCAGATGATGAAGAAGAAGTTCTATAATTTAACATCAAAATAATCATAATGTATACAATTAACAATGGACATAAAATTAGCCAATACATAATACTTTTATGATTTTAAATGATTAATATGCAATAATGTTTAAAGTTCATCTATGTTAAGGTTAGAAACTGCGAAAAAGAAAGATAAAGAGCAAAGAGATAGATGTATAATTGGGGAAAATATTAGGATAACTGTCAGCTGATATGTATGAAGGAAATATGGGAGATTGAAACATAATGGAAATGAAGGATAAGCGTCAACTCCTAACAGTTGGAATAAAAACAAATAAGGAAGTTTACCTCTGTTTGTGATTCTTTTTCGCCACCTGGTCGTTAAGTCTGCGACCAGCTTCAATTAACTGATTGTCAGTATTGGGGAAAGGTGGTGGTGGCATATTGGGGTCAGCAACAAATGGCTGCTTAGGCATGTGATTTGTCCAGGAGCCACTACTTCCACAATCTACCAAAATAAAAAAAAAAAAAAATAGAAAAACTTGTATTACTGATGTGAAAAAAGAAAATTCAACTTACCAAGGGAAGAAGCTTTTACAGCTGTAGAATTAGTCGATGCTGTACACCAGCTAAAAGCTGGACCGGGATCAGCAAGTGCATCACCAGCGCACATAGGGCTTTCTTGAAGCCATACCATACATCGATTAGTAGACCGGCTTGATTAAGAATAAAGCACATTAATTATTTTATTATATAAGTCAATTTATAAGACATGTTCAGTAAATATACAGTGAAATTGTATATACAAATAATGAAAATAAAATAAACTTACTCTTCTCTCATCTTGTTGACATTAGTTGGTAACTGTGATTGACCTGATACAACACTGATTCCACTATCTGTCATTGTACGCCGACTGCCCCATGTATGACGTCCTAAACCTAAAAATTACATTGAACACATCAGTCTATATTAGTTTATTAAATTATGATTTGTTCATACTTGACACTCGAAGTTCTGGGTTTGGAACAGCATTTTGATAGTCTGGTATTGACCGACTTTTAGGCACATGTCGGCCAGGTTCAGAACTATCTGCTGTGAAGTCTGTGTAATTGCCACTATCATAACCAGATGCTCTATTATCCTAATAACAATGTGTAAAGGTATGGGTACATTACTACTATTTTTCGACCAAATACAAGACAAACATACTTTATCTCTGCGTTTGCACAAATTAGGATTAGCTGCAGCCAGATAACTACTGGCTAATTGTTGAACAGGTCGATTGACTTTGCCTGACCCCTGTCGCCTATGTAACGAGTGTTCAGGTGATTTAGGAGGTGATTTAAAGTATTTTTGTACATGTTGATCTAAACCCACAATAAATTAAAAATTAGAAAATTGTAAATAAAAAATTAGGAAATATAATAAGGTAGGTATATATAGTGTTAAGTGTAAGCATTTAATAAAATACACAGAATACATATTTTTTTTTTTTTTTTTTATTAATACAATCCTTTGTGGTTAGTATATTTCTTAATTATTACATGTAATGTTATTCAATTAACGCACCTAATATTTCATCATCACTACCATCAGGTAGTTTTAATGATGCCCGAAACATTTCATCTAACATTTTGGGATCGTCAATTTTGCCAGATTCACTGTCAAATTTAAGCTAAAAAAACAAAATTAATTTAAAAAAATTAAAATATGGCTTAAACTATTAAGTTATTTTAATTTCTCACAAACCTCTGAAAGAGTTTTGATCAATTTAGTATCTCTTTTTTCCTCTACATCACGTTCTTGTTTTATTTTTTCTAATTTTTCAGTTAGTATGGATGCAAACTTTTTTGGCTCCATTGCTGGTTTCTAAAACACAAACCAGATGTAAAAAAAAAAAACCACTAATATTCAAAATATTACTTACATTGCATTGAGGTTCTCTCATGGTCCGAGGAATAATGGTAGTGGTCATTGAGCCCTCAACATTTCTACGAGCATACTTCTGTACTTCTTTCATTTCTAGTTGAGCAGTTTTCTTGGCTATAATTTTTGGATCACGAATCTCAGCCAATTGCCTATTGAATTAATGATAAATAATTATTTTGTTTTCATTCAAATGTTATACTTACTTAAATTTCTGATGAATTATAGAGGCAATACCACAAAAAAAAAAAAACAAAATAATAAGCTTACCTTCTTAAACAATCAGTAGATACGGATGCTTCACTCAGACTAGCTAGATCACTATCTTGGGCTGAATTTGGGTTGTAAGATACGTGCGTAGCTCTAGGTTTTGTACCCCACCAAGATTGGTGATAAGGAGTACTGGGATTTGGGTTGTAGATGCCCATTTTTGAAGTCTTTGCTCTACAATTGTTACCAAGCACAAAAAAAAAAAAAAACAAAAAAAAAACAATACAAATACAATACAATAATCAATATGAAAAAAAAAAATGCACTATAATAAAATTAAATAATTATACTTAAAACTAAAATGCTTAAATGCTTAATATATTAAATAACATAGGCATGTTTCTACATTTTTTATTTAATAATGTGTAAAAAGAATACTTTTTATGATTTTTATTGTCTAATATTATTGAACACATTTAGTAAAAAAAAAAAACCAGCGAAATCTAATAATGACACTATAAGCAATTTTCAATTCACATGCAACAATAATAACATATTTGAAATTTTACCTTTGAAGAAACTCTCCTTTTTCCAAATGAGACCTTTGTTTTTGAGACATTTCCAAAAGTGATTGAGTCAACTTCATAGGAAAGTCTTTGGATTGCTTTAGGTCATGGTTAGATAATTCAGCATCTTCTTTAAGAGTCATCAAAGTTTGATTGCGATCTGGTGGTGCTTGATACCTAGAAGGCACTACTTTTTCTTCTGTGTCTGGTATGTGGTTCACTACTTTACCATCATAAAAGCTAAATATAAATTAATATAACATGAACATCTTATATTTTCAACAGATAACACTTGGTTAAATGTGCTTACTCAATGCCACAATCTAGAGACCGAATAAAAGTAATGTAGGTATCAGATTGTAGAAATGCCGGATACAAAGTATCATTTAGAAAGTTTTCCACTTGTACCAGGGCTTTGTCAAACAGATTCTTAGGAAGAGATGTTTTGTCAATATTAGATTTTTTAACCCTTTGTATAACATCTCTCCTAGATTCTTCATCTACACCTAAATCTGCTTTTAGGAACAGTTTTCTAATGGAAATCAAAGTTATGTTACATAATATTCATATCATTAGAGAATAATAAAATAATTAAAATAATAAATAGTATTCACTTGTAAATGATTAAACGTAGCTTGTCTGCTTTTTGATCTGTATGACCATAGAGCCCCTGACAAGCTAACCAAAACTCGAGCACCTTGCTGCATTGTTGTCCTTGTCCGGATTCTTCTTCTAGCTTTAAATGTTGTCGAAAAAGATTAACTCCTTCAGGATCAGTCAATAAGCTATTTAAGTTTCGGGCCCATAACATGGGTCCCGTATTTTGGTTTTCATTTGGGGATAATGATTCCCGATCACCACTATCACCGTCTGCTGGTTCGTAATCGTGACGTGCACCACATCCAACTATAAAAACAGTTTTATTAAAACTATTATATATTTATTAACAATATATAATTTATTAATTAATATACTAAAACTATTTCATTCTTACCAAATTCCTGGATGTTGCATAAATGACATTTGGAACCAGATGTTCGTTGACCGAATTCAGTTATTGTTTTGTGGCACTTCACACATTTATTTTCTTTGATAATAAATTAATTTTATTAATTTTAATTAAAATAAATAAATAATTATAAAAAAAACTTACCATAATTATGTTTATACTTTTGACTCAGACAAGCGTTGTCATCAGATGATCGCTCAGACTCTTCTCCGGGTAAAACTTTTGGTCTGGCGGAGTCGATTAGTATATTATTATTCATCATAACCATGGGTATGGAGCTATTGGTGTCACGCTCCTTGCTACTTCTGTTACATGCATTTCGAAATAGCTCTGAAACATAAAAATAATTTATTACTACGATATACTTTTATTAATGGCTTGCATTATATTATTATTATTTTTTTATTATTGTTAAATAAGGGTGAATGAAAACAACATGGCCGCTTGGAGTTTAGCCATTGTGTATTGATCGGTTTCACGATACCTTCAAACACAATTTCAATTTCTAGTTTTAGGATATATTATATTAATATTAATATTAATATGTTATATCAAAACAAAATAAAAAAAAATTCTTTGATGAATGATTCCCTCAATAATAAAAAATTGTTTATTAAATCAATATTATGATAGTATAAGCCCATAAGGTTTGATTACTAAATGCCGACAAATGCCAGTTATGAAAAACCAGCTGAACACAAGATATGGGGAAAAATATGAAAGTAAAACTATCCTAAACAATACATACCACAATCCATTCTATATAGGTGATTTTTTATACTCCAATAATAAAAATATTAATACTAAAAATATGATATGGGTACACTCAACACAACCGGACTCAAGTAGTTGTCGATCGATGAAGCGGTAGTATGTAACGCAGAAGCAACGCATGTTACAGCAACCGCTGTATAAAAACCACCCGGATAATCGATAGTGAATGCAGTTCCGATTGGAGAATGAAGAACAATAAGTCATAAAAATATGATATGTGCCAGAAGTGGGGTCCCTTTTATTGCACAATAAGATTTTGGAAATTATGATTTTTTTGGATCAATTCATGTGTCTATCAACATTTAATAAGTGGCAGCAGGCTAGGTATATATATTTTTTACATCATATTATTGAGATTTATATTTTTATTTTTGACAGGATCTTCTTAACAATCTATGGAATTACTCCAAACAATAAGATATTATATTGGTATTTTATAGCAAACAGCTGAGAAATAACACAATATGTTTAATTTTAATGCAATTACAATCATTGATTTTTTTTATTTTCATGTAGTGAATGCATTAAACATGAAAATAAAATAAATTAATAATTTTTAATAACCTTAATATAATAATTTTTATAAAATAACACTTGTATTATATTGTAAATTTTTTATGAATTAAGTTTTATTTACAGTTTTATTGTACATGTTTGACATTTACCAATTAATGGTTAATAAGTTTGAATAAATAAATTTATATGTATAATTCATAGTTGAGAATTTAAAAAAAAAATATTTTGTAACATTGAAGTAACTTCTTCAATGAACACTGTAATTCATAAAATTATATCAATGTTTAATACAGTAATAATGATAAAATAATAAATTATTGTTAATTAAACTATGTATTAATACTAATACATATACTAATTGTACTAAATTGTGGATTATTACAACTTAGGAGTTCAAAATAATATTCAAACACTGAAGTCTCTGGACAGTGGCAAGTGATATAGGTTTCATGACTCAAATGACTAAATGAGGTAGGTAGGTTAGTGTTGTGTGGCAGAAAAGTTTAGTACATAATTTGCACATTTGACATAAAATACTATTATATATTATTTTGTTTAGACCCGTTAATTTTAATATCTATTGGTTAAATTATTTGGAATGGGTACTAAATACACGTTATTGCTTCATTGGAAAATAAACTTCGCACCGCCACTGCCTCTAGCAAATATACAAATCATTAAACAATAATAATAATATAAAATATATATAAAAATGTTAATAAAATTCATCTTCATCTAAACTCAAGAACAACTATAATTTTAAAACAATTAAAATAAATTAAAATTATTGGGTTATTTTCTATGCATGTATATAACAGTGAAAAGTATATTAATATATTGTAAAATATTATTTTTAATAAAAAAAAAAATGTGTTCCAAGCTAAAGCAATAACAGTCAATATAATATATTATTATACCTAGCGGTTTAAGGTATAATATTGAAATGAGAAAAAAAAATGGAAACGTCAATTATTATTGTGTGCAGAGAGCATTAGTAAATACTAAGTGTTCATTATATTTTTTTAGTTTCAATAAGAGATAAAAATATTTTTTTTTACCTCAATTTAATAATAATAATAATAATAATAATAATAATAATAATAATACGTTCAAAAGAAACACGACGGTATAGGGTTCTATAAATCGTGCAACAGCGGCGGCTGTCTCTCTTGAATCACTCAAACAAAACATTGTAATATTTTCTTTGAATATTAACTAGTAAATACCACATTATTAAATTTTTTTTCACTCTCCAGAAATGTAATGAAAAAAATAATAAAACCCGAACAATTCCTCGCCAAAGAGTAAGTTAAGAGTAAAAAGTATACTTTTTGAAAAAATATTCTTCTCCGCAGTTACGTACACGCATCTCGCCATCGCAATTCAAGAGTCGGTACGATTACACGTCCGATATGTCATCGTACGATAGAACATCGGTCCGTGCGTATCGACTCTAATACTATATAACAGTAGCGTCCACAGACGGCAAAAATGCACCGGACACGGCAGTCGTTGAAATCGTGCTCAATGATCGTATTTATAGTATTATAGATCGTATTATAGTTCTGCATACGATCGCACGTACACTCAAGACGAAATATACGACGAATCTCTCATCATTCTCTGTCCGTCCGGAACTAGCTGAAAAATTGTTAGAGCTGGAGAGGGGAAAACGATTATTTCTAGTCGGCCGATTTTCGAGAAAAATTAATTGAAAAAAAAAAATGTTCGTTTTAATTTTTCTTTTGCGTATTCCTCTTCTCTCTCTGTCGCATAGCTTAAAAAAATTCCCTACGAACGACCCGGCGTGTCGTGTAAAAAAGTAGCCGCCGCCACGCGGTGTGCCGTCGTCATAGTCATCGTTGCGTCGATGTATATACGCGCGTCGGACAAGATTTACAATTCATTCTACCATGAAGCGTAACCGCCGGAGGGCACTCGGCCACATGTAATTATTGCACCGGTTGCCTTATACCGCCGCCTTCTCCTGCTCCTCCACTCGTCCACTGATCCGACCATCGTACACGGTCCCCGCGCCGTCGCCACCGACCACCCTCCGGCGGAGAACCGGTCGGCTTCTTTGACGCCGGCTTCAACGCCGCCGCCGCCGCTTCGTGTTCATTACAAAATTACACTCTCCCTTCACCCCGATTTTCGCTCGTCGTCGTCGTCGTAGTAGTAGTAGTCGTCGCCGTCGCCGCCATAAGGTTATATTTTCCTCTCTCTATCGGTCGTCGGTCCGACGCGGTTGATTCCTTTATTTTTTTTTTTTTTTTATATTAATTTATTACAAGCAGGTGTGTTTTCTGTTTGATTCTTAAAACTTTATGTATAAATTTTTTTTCAAGTCGAATTTGTCCGGCTATTAACTCTCCTTCTGTGCGTCTGTATGTGTGTGTGAGGCGGAGGCCGCCGATACATAATATACGCTCACACGTACACTACACGCACAAACATATAGATATATTAAATTATTATTCGAAACGGTATTACATCTACACGACGACGACGCGTTAATATACTTTAAGAGACGCCGACGAAATGAAAATCGTGTAAAAGCCAACCAGATTTACATACGCACACGCTGAATGTTACACACAGAGTATACACAGTGTGTATTATAAATACTATATTGTATATCGGTGACTTCTTGTTAAAACGAAAATCATAATAAATCTGAAGACTCGAATGGTACTTATCTTTTTTTTTACCAAAATTATTTTCGATCGAGACCGTTAACCATAGGTCATTAGCGAGTTGTTTGGACTGTTGTATAAATAAATAAAATAAAAAAAAAAACATCAAAAGGGCTGAGTAAATGGATTTTTGTCCGATGGTTTTTTTTTTTTTTTACCAGAATCGAATTAGCGGAGATTCGAAAGTTAAAAACAAATATAACCGACCAGAGTGAGATATAACATTTCTTTAGTATACGTACATATTATATTGAAAATTCTATAAACTCGCTCGAGATGATAGTCCGAATTGAACGTAACAAATTAAGATGCTGACCACTCGACCCTATACTATTATTTTTTTAAGAACGAAGTACTTGATTGAATTAAAGAACCCATACAAAAAGAAAAAATATCGGTATCTTTTACTTTTTACAAAAGGGATTGACATTTTCCAAAGGTTTATATTTATTGTTTATTTTTATATATATACAATCATTCACTCATACCGTACTGTTCCAAAAGAAAAATACAATACGTTACAATAATGATATCAAAATATATTATTTCACGTTATATCGATCATAATAATATAGTAAGTATTTATAATAATGATAATAGAGTTATCGTTTTCCTATATTTAAATAGATCAAATAATCCGAATATATTACAGGAGATTTAATAGTTTTATTTGGACATACATACAAATACGTATAAATAACGTTATTTATACAAGTAAAAGATATTTGAACTTATGCAATAGTATTATATACTTAAATTACCCCAATTATGTAATATTAAATTATTACAAATTATTTAAGTAAAACCATAAAATTACTTTAGTTAAATCATAAAAAAAAAGATACAAAGACTTCAGAATGCTAACCACACAGGTATTTTAAACTTAGCATAATCCCATCCAAATATTTTGTTCATTGATACTCGACCCAATAAAAGACGTAAGGATTTGTATGAAACTAGGAAAATTTAATTTCGTCTTGATCTAATACATTTTATATCTATTATCCGATAACACACAATGCAATTGCTTTATATATAGTATAATATTATACTTTTTTTCTTATCAAGCATGAAATATAATTTCATTGGCGGTGAATAAAATACATAAGCGACAAAGTATCTACTCGTGTGATGTCCATGTACTGGAAAATGCACTTCTATTCAATCCCCCAGCCAATGTTCCTGCAATTGGCACTAAAGAAAGATAAAGAAAAAAAGCAAGTCGGAGCAAAGCGAATATTGCATTGAAAACCGCAATAGGCTGCAAACGAAATCGAATCATTCAGTTTGAATCTCGCGTATGGTTTCGGAAATTTAATTTTTCCCTTCGTCTACTCAACTCCGATCCAACAAAATTGTTCTATTTTTTTTTTTTTTTTTTAATGCGTATTTCACTCCAAAAAGTATGTAGGATTGTATATTTTGATTTATTTATATTTTCATCTTATATGCACATACACAGTTTTATAATACCAATAAGCACAGTCTGTTGGCCACAAGGCATTTTTTTATATTATATACGATAAGTTATTGGAGTTTTTCCCTTTTGAACCTGCCCTAAAACGTGCAAACCAAGTTTTAATGTAATGTTTTGAAATTGAACAAATATTTATACTTATATATATTATATCCATGCATCTACTCATAATATTTTGGATGATACTAAAAAAATCTAAATACAATACAATTTAAATATAAAGATAAACTGTATTGTAATTAAATCCAAATAATACAAAGAATAATACCCGGAGTAATATTAATTTAGTTATGTT